TGGGATTTGTAATTGGTATCGCCCATGTATCACTTCCTGAGTAGAGCCTAGCTTTTTCAGGTATGCTGCCTGAAAAATGTAACCAGCTGGATCTCTACAGAAAGGAAAGATGGCCACTTTGGGTGTGTCTGATACGTGTCATTTCCTGTACATCAGGAACTGACCACCTCTGTTTCTTATCTGTTTGATTTAATACTGGTTTTTAATATTGGCTGACTTCTAAAGATTTAGATCTGAGAGTACAGGGTATGGTGATTGGGATCTGGGACTATAGTTATATCTTTATATGGTTAGAATTCTACTATGGTTTTACATTTTTACTTTACTCCATTTCTGGTGCGCAATTAAACAAAAAAAATGCTCAAAATAAACAGATCACATTAAGAGCTCGTTAGAGTAGAAATAAGGGAGCAAACACCAAAATCTAGAGAGACTACATAAAGTTTTTTTACACTACTGTAGTTGGAAAAATACACTTGAAGAAGGTTACTTTTAAAAGCAAGGACAAAGTGCAGAAACAGGTAAATAAGAAACTAGGTCAATTAAAGGCAATAATTAGTACCAGTGATCCCCCAGCTCAGCTTGGAATTAACACTTGCAGAAAATGCAGTCTCGCAAGACCAGGAGCAGGAACCACAGACCTAAAGTGTTTCATTGCAATTAAATGAAAAATATGGACATACTGTAAAATGTTAATGATCAGTCTATCAATGATTTACAGAGTAATTTATTTCATTGGGTTTATTTACCAAAAGAGCCAATAAAATGTGCCCAGTATATCTTCAAACGTCTGACACCTAACAAAAGGCAGCTGCTCTTATCGAAATGGATTCAAATTAATAGATGAGATTTCGGCAGTCATACAAATTTATTTTGCAAATGCATGAATTAATAATTGTTTGTATTTATATAGTAATTTTCACTTAAAAGGATCTCATAGCAGAAAGCAGAAGCACTTCATCTACCAGTGAAGTGCAGCACCCAGTGTGATGTTTGGCAGCCCTTCATGACACAGCAGACCAGCAGTAGAAGTGATAATGACTTCACTAAGGCAGAAAAATTAGGGAGGCATATTTTGCAAGCGGACTTCAACCAGGTCAACGGGGTTCTCACTTGTACAGTGACATAGGGTCTTTTTTGAACCAGTACTCAAGACGTGGTCAATAAAGTGTCACGATCGGCGTCCCTCCTCTTTAGTTGATTACGTGCACCTGCCCCCTATTTTGCCAGTTATTATTTAAGCCTGGTGCTCCCGCTATTCCTGGCTCAGCACTGGGAGATGGACGCCCAGAAGCCTGCCTGCCAGCGGGTCCAGGAGAGACCTGATGGCACAGGCTTCATCACGGCGTCCTGACCGTCTGAGACCGGGGCTTGGAGCGCCTGACCTTGTCATCCTGGTTTTATTCCCTGTCCCAGTTCCGGATCCCGTTCGGGTTTTTAACTGTTTGTTTCGTTTTGGTTGGATCCCCCGGTTTTGGCTTTTGGACTGCCTGAACTTGTTTGCCATCGCCACGCCCCCCCGAGCACCGGATCACCGTAGACACGCCCCCCTGTCCGTCGACCCGTCCTGATCCTCTTCCTCTCCTCCCCTGATGTCCTCCTCCACTCACGTCCGGATTGTACCATCTGCATAGGGTCCTAAACTACGCTTCACGGGAGTCAGTTCCCAATCAAGGTCAAATCAAGATTCCTCAAATCATAGGTAACATCTACAAAACAGAATCCCGAATCACCATATTTTGAGCTCTTAAGAACAGAAACTGGTGGTAGATACTGATTCAGTGACACCATTTTGGGCATCAACCTGGTTTTCCAGATGTAGAGCAGTGTTCGCAATTCTGGATCACAGCAGCATGTCTTGGTTTTCATTCCATTCAAGTTTATGGAACATCTCCTTGGGCTCTCCATTTTGTACCCATTCAGCTATTAAATAGTTGGACCAGGTTGGAAATAAGCTTGAATCCATGTACTAGCTAATTTTGGAACTTCTGACATTAATGATTGTTTTCTAAAAGACTAGGTGGAATTTAACCAATGAGTCTGTACTACACGAGATCTTATTATAGGTTGGTTTTAGACACAGTGTCATCCCCACCTCTTTTTGTACATCACTGATAACCATTGAGAGTTTTATAGAAAACAATGGTGGCACACCGATTCAAAACCAAGTTGAAATAGAAATCAGTGTGCTATTCTTGGAAATAATCATAAAAGAGGGATAATGTCTGAAATTGAGGCTGTGGTGGGGTGCCATCCCTCAGCCTACAGTATTTGTCGTGGGCCTAGAAAAACAAGGAACCCTTTGGAAGGTTCATATTGTCCACCACTGCAGTAGGTCAGCATGGGAAAAAAAAGAGAAATCAAAGAACTGGCACTTGTAAATAGTTGTTTGGTTGTTTGTGCTTGTAGGTTGCAGGTAGTCTTACTCACCAGCATTCAGAGGGGAAAAAAATCATACTCAAACTCAGGGCAAAAGATAAACTCTGGGAAACTAACCAGATGGCCACTGGCCTGATTCCGCAGCGCCATCTAGTGATGGGGAGGGGTGCTGCATTCTCCGTCCATAAACACTGATGTTTAATCATTTACCCATAAATTGCAATATTTGCATATAACTGTTTTTAAGAAAAAAACTACAAAACACAAATCTGGGGGCTTTTGTGTGGAGAAGGGCTGTTTTTGTGTTTTCTAGACATATGCACAGCACGGAGCAGCAGGCCATTAAGAGGCTTATGGGAGGTAACAGGGGGCGTGGTTTCCGAAATACCACAACAGAAAAAAGAGGCTTCGCTCTGCTGGGGAGTTTTCTCTTAAGACTTGGATGAGGAAGTATTTTTCCTGTCAGTTGAATTTATTGTGTTCCCCCTGGCTGAACTATAAATAAACAGACATCCTTTAATTATCCTCTTTTTTGTATACTGGTAGAGCCTGATTTCTGCTGTGCGTTAGGCCTCAGGTGACCATTCAGAAGGGGGGCTGTGATAAAGACCTTGGTGCAACCTTGAGAAAAAGTTCAAATCAAGCAATTCGTTGAAATACCAGTTCAAGAATTTTAGCTAATCAAAATCTCCATAAACAAAGACCATTAAATACAGGGATACTCCCGAACCAGAACTGGGAAACTGCGACAATCCCAGTACTGATCATAGCCAGCCTTACTTAGTTCCTGATATCTAGGAAGATCAGGCTCCAAAGCAGCTATTAAATAAGTACAAATAATTAATTCTGCACTGAAAAGTAGAAAAAAAAACACTCTAAAGAATTAACCTTTACTGTCCAAAGCACAATGATGCAGCTCCCTGCTCAAACCGATCAAATAAGGCGTCACATTAATAATATGTAGGGAACAATATGTTTCCCCAGGAAGTTCATTATGCGAGGGACATACGGCGAGAGAACTCTGCCATCTTCGTGAAATAAGCTTAAAGACTTGCAGGCAGAACTGTTAATAAACTGTCAAGCGCTATATTCACTAACGTTGACACAGAATATTTAACAACACCTGCTTTACTAATAGCATCTGACAGGAAAAAAATAGCGACTGACTACCACGCAGACAGCCAATGATACTGGACTGACAAAGAAGCAGCAAGCACTTTAGAAGACGCACAGGCCTGTGTGACACTTTTTAAACAGCTTTTCTCAGGTATGACTCAACCCGGCACAGAACCTTTAAAGAGAACTTACGAATGAGACAGCTACACCTGGTTGAAGAAAATGCAGCGCTTAACATTTTACAATGGCAAACTGAGTTGATTTACCCAGAAACATAATCGAAAATATTTGCAAAACAGAAGTTGTTATATAATTTTGATTAGGTACAGTATAATTAATATATCCCCTTTTCGGTGATTTTCAAAATTAGGCCTACTATATACCATTATTATGCATAGGACAGATGTATCATGTATAAAATAATAAGTAACCTAACGGATATTTGAATACGACTACTGCTACAACTAATATTGCTTTGTCTATCGTGGTTTTGGAGACTTGCACTTTTTTTCTTCATTGATTCCCTTATCAAGTTCATTGAAAGCACACTCGACACGACTAGTGTAGGTTGGTCACTGGTTTTTAATTGCATTTTGCCATCCAGATACAAGCATGTTTAAGCCAAATTTCAGCTGGGATATTAAACCATTAGGGGCAGCAGGTTTGTCCTGCGAAAGCCACAAAGAAAAGCTTACTTGCTGAAAAATACAAAAAGGAATCTAAATTTAATTACTTATATTTTATTTTTTAAAATAAAGTGATTTAAAAAGTACCCCCCAATGAAAGCCAAAGAACGACGTTCATGCCGCGATTAATTTCTCCGTTAAGTAATGAAAGATTTTTGGTTAAACCAAGATCGGGGCGAAAAATTGGATTTCATTTCGCTTTGTTCTCGACAGAGGGTGGCGCTCGCCTTGTCTTTCACAAACAAGGACAAGAATATTTGATGCAAAAATAAAATATACAGCTGTTTAGAAAAGAAAACTAATTGTAAAATAGGAAGTTTGCGCTGTTGTAAGCAAGTGTATGTATTCTTGCCTATTGAAAATGTATTTAAGGGCAAAAGTATATTGAACCCTTTTCATCATATTAAAATTTAAAATGGTGTTTTTTAGTTTAAGTTTAAAGAAAAATTAAACGTTCAAAAAAACGCACTAAAACACATCACATAAGCTTTAACAGACAATACTACGTAATTAATTTTTTTAAAGATGTAAACATAATATATCATAAACAAAGAATATACGGTCGGGATCACTAAGGTGCATTTACAATGTCACATTTAATAAAAAAAGAACATTATCTGTTATGTTTGTAAATATTTCACGTTCTTCATCCATTTTAATTATCTAGTACTAGTCCTAACATGAAATAGTGAACTGTGTTGTCAGCTTTTACTATGAACCCTGCTCGTAATGTATTCTTGCTTTATTCTGCACTGAAACCTTCTCATTATCTCCAGGCAAGCTGTTATCTCGGAAAACACACAACAGGTTACCTCTTACCTTTTGCAGATTTGGAAAACGCTGGAACTTGTTAAGATTTCATCCCTTTAAATGAAAAGCGGTGAATCTATCGCTTTTTCCATCTCGGATTCACAGGCTGAGTTCAATCCATCTGAAGGGTCTCTGGGCTACTACGTTCCCTTTTCACGCAAGGTGCAACACCGAGAGTCGCTCACGCTGCCTTCCTCCCTCCCACTGAACAAAACCGATTCCCACACTCTGAGATCCCAACTCGTAGCATCCTACGAACAGTCGCTAAACACTGGCGTCTCGGTGAAATTTAAAGGGGACCTCTGCATTATTCCGACCTCATACTGGATTTAACAACACTTTGCTTACTGTAGAGTCGGACGTTTTATCCAATACTCGGTGTGGGTTTTCCGGCAATTGAAAAGTGCCAATAAAGAAATTATCCGGGGATAAATTCACATTGAATGTAGCCATTTTGAAGGAAAACGCTGAGTAAATTTTACAGGGTCAATGAACAACCCACCTGTTGAAAAACATATGACGTTATTAGGCATCTAGTGACTTATTTGTTATTCCCACACTTAAAATCTGTCCTGTTATCAGGTTTATGACTTTAAGTTGCTTTTAATTAACACCTCGGCAGACGAAGTGCAATTATTTTAAGTATCTGTAATAGAAATAAGCAACTAGAAACCCAGAGGCCTCTCACAACTGGAGTACATCCAATATATTTTAATTACTCCTGCTGCAATTTTTTCCATGACAGATGAATTATTTATCACCCGATACGGAATGAATACAGATTGTTTTATGCTAAAGAGATCACATAGACACTTTGCAAGCAGCTTTACGATTTTAAAATGAACCGAGAGTGCCGGGACCTGCGGCGAGAGAGATTGGTGATGAAGTTCTTCTTGAACTTAACTTTGTGTGAGGCTTACGTCGTACATTCCTATTCAACCTTAAAACCAGAATCCTTGCACTGTGCAGGTTCAAGAGTAAACGAGATGAATGTGTTGTGTTCAGATATGAAACACATCTGCTGTGAATCCTCTTTCCTGACTAAAACAGCCTGTTGCTATTCCAATAAGATGGGAACGTATAGTAATAGTTAAAATAAAGAAATGAGAACAGAGAAAAAAAAAAAGACATTTAAAAAACAAGACATTGTATTTAATACAGCTTAAATATGATAACAGATATTTGTTTTTTTTAAACTATTTGAAGAGTAACCCAAAATAGAAATCAAAGGAGAACCTGAGTTTGTAATAAACCATCTTTGTTATCTAGCCTGCATGTATACCAGTCCTCTGCAGTAGAGGATATTTATGCACTGGCTGCCATGATGAGATGTCTTGTGTTCTGCAGAGTCCCCTGGAAGGACACCTCCATAGTTTCCAGTCTGCCTCTGAGTCATTTCTTAGACAAAGTCCAGCAGTCGGTGCTCATAATGCAGATGTGTTTTTAGACCTTAACCTTAACACTCAGACCTGGCTGATCCTCCTCTCTTCTCTTCATTCTCTGTGGCTCCCAGGCAGGCAAACATATAAACAGGCACACTGGCTGGCCACAATATCAGGAGCCCTAACCACTTCTCCATGTCAAACACAATAGATTCTCCTTGAACAGTATCTGCAGACAATGCCCAGTTTCACATGATTAAAACAACACCTTGAATGTCTGAAGCATTTTCCCCCAAGCTCTCTACCTACAGTACACCTGTTTTATCTACCACTGAAGTGTGCCACCATACTGGGGCATCAGTGTAGAGAAGCTGGTCCAGGGGGGCAGAATGTCACCCACTTGTTCACCAGTTCGCTGGTTTCCCACAGAGGTCTCCCAGTAAGGTCTGAGAACTGACAGGATCAAACTGCAAGGTGGTAACATTGATGAGTCTCACGAATGTGTCAAGGGAGCCGGTCCTGACTCCCATGTAGTGCGTATTTAGGACCCTATGCAGACAGTATAATCCGGAAGAGACTGGAGAAGGACTATAGGGAAAACATGGAGAGGAATGGATAAGAGGACAGACAGGGGGCGGTGCCGACCGGGATCCAGGTGCGAGGGGGAGCACAGGCAAGCAAGTCCAGTGGGAGTCCAAAAGGGAAAAAGAGGGAGCAATTCAAAGTCCAGATAGCCAGGAGATCAATCCAAGACGAAGACGGGGAAAAGGGATCCAGGAACATGGGGAAAAGGCCTTGCACCTTGGGCTTCTCCTGAGCCTAGTGGATAGGTAGGCCATCAGACGTCCATCTTCCAAGACTGAGCCCAGAGCTTAGGAGGCACTTAACTTATATAGTGCCTTGTTAAACAGGAGACAGGTGCATGTAATAATGAAACTAATAATAAAAGGTCGGAGCGCCCTCTAGAGGAGGGATGACAACCATGACAGAATGAGCCAGGTGATTAGTGGTGTGGACACATACCGGGGAACACAGCAAACGGGAAGGCAGAGACAAGAACTAGAGCTGACATCAAAAGACACATCACTGTGGACAGGGGTGGAGGTTGGACGCTAACAGGGATATTGGTTGCAAAAATCAGTGGAGCTGCTGGGAAAGGAGAGAAGCTCTGTCCATTAGCTCTGTGCAGCTTGGCGTCAGACACAGGCAGGGAAGCGTATGGCTGGAAGGGAATACAAATGAACCCAAATAAATGTTGGGTTCACAGTGGAAAAGAATAGGCATGTCGCAATTCAGAAGTATCAGTAGGGATCCTGTTCTATCCATATTGCTGAAAACTTTGCACAGGGAACATCATTAAGTAATGCACCTTATAACTTTGCGTGTCAATGTAAAATAATACATTTTATATATATATTATAGTCTTGGCCTATTTTGTGTGACTTACCTGGGACTTTCTCTAGGGCTCTGTATGTAGGTTAAATATTTGTCTCAGAATCTCCTGACATTTAAGGTTTTACAATCATTTATGTCTACAGAAATACTTAAAACATAACATTCTGAAAAATTAACCTTCATGCAGTAATTAATAAACCAAGTCTATGTGTCTGGTTACTGAAGAAAATCATAAAGCATTTGCTTGTAAAGGACTCCTGTACCATAACAAGAATGTTTTTATCTAACCTTAACCGTAGGATCTGCGTCTGTAGCTGGAAGGTTGTGGGTTCAAATCCTGTGGCTGGCAGAGAAATCCTACTCTGTTGGGCCCCTGAGCAAAGCCCTTAACCCCAGCTGGTCCAGGGGCACCGTATAAATGGCTGACCCTGCACTCTGACCCCAAGCCTCTCTCTCCCTGCCTGTGTGTCTCATGGAGAACCAGCTGGGGTATGTGAAAAGACAAATTGCTAATGGAAGAAATTGTATATGACTAATAAAGTGATCTTATCTTCATTAGGCTGCATTCCATACCTACTGTAGTTTTAGGATCCTATGAGTCATGTTTTCAAAATACCTTATCACAGAAATTAAGCTTTGGAGAAAATTTAATTTCATATACTCTACACTCCCTGACGAACTAGTCACAGAAATACACATTTCGGAGAAGTGTGGGGTTCCTTTGAGGAAAGATTTTGTATCATTGTGATGGGGGAGAAGGTAGAAAATACGTTTCCAAAATAAAATAATGCAGTTAAATTGCCAAATAAAGAAACACTGCCTAAAAATATAGGTCATCACAACAATTGCAGTAATCGTTAATAATGACAATGTTTTATTGTCTGCTCTTACCTTATGAGATTCAAAAGTACAGAAGCTGAGAAGAAGTCTCTCTCATTAACAATAACCTTTATGAGAGCCATTCTTGATACATTATCTAAAGGCAATTTTCAATAGCATCTAGGAACAGAGGGTTAGGGTATAGTGTCCAAATGCGTAGAGTCAGTAGCACTCGCTAGATTGTTGTTAACCATAGCTAGAGCAGTTTCTGCAATTTTTAGATCTGAGGCCAGACCGATAAAGCCTACTGTATACAGCTTCTCTGCACATTGCAGACAAGTGACACAGCCTGTTCTAGAAGCTTTTCCAAAAACTGAGAAGTTCAATATTACCGAGTAGAGCAGGAATCTGATTTCTGCGTTTTTAACAGTAAAGAGATTAAGTGAACAATTACAGCGGGGGGAACAATTCCAGACCCCAGTGAGAGTGACATGTACTGTAATTGAGGCTTCTCTAGTTTCTTCCAGAGCCAAGCCTTCTAAAATGCCACCAAGGGTGGAATTGTACTGCGTAAATGGAGTCTAGTTGGCTGAGGGCCACTGCCAGAAATCTTACAAAGGACTGGAGAAACAAATCTGGATTAATAGATCTGATTTTGCTAAACATATTAGATTAAGTTTGTGAGTAAAACGTTAAAATCAAAACAAATGGCGGGTAATCTCAAATGCCCAGTTAAAAGGATGTGCATGTCACTCACAGGAGGACCCTATTGTCAGGAATGGGCATATTTAGTGTATATACAGAATAAAAATAAGCACAGAATTCTGTTAGAGAGAAGTATTGTGGAGAGTCAAAAATGAACGTTAAAATCTACTATAATTAGAATCTTTGTGAAATAATACAACAGATGTGACAAAGTGCTCAAAACTCCCAGTGTTACAGAGATGTTTAAAAAAGCTTTATGCTGAAACAATTTAAAAACTGATGGGAAACCACAGGTAGGGGTTTCAGAGCAGTCTTAAGTTTCTATACAATTACCACTACATTTGTGGAGAAATAGAATAATTATTTCTGTTAAAACTTTAATTGTTATTAAACTTTAACTGGATAACTGGCTGCATTCATCATGCATTACACAGTTTGGCTAATCACCTGTGGGGGGAGGGTTTCGCATACAATTAAGAATGAACTAAATCATCACTGAAATCACATCAACATGTTCTTATTTCTCTGCCATATTTAATGAAGTTCAAGTTAAAAAAAAACCTTCTCCATGGTATTCCTTGCTTACGTTATCCTCCAACAACCCCACCACCAAGAACAACACAGAAACCCCTAGTTTGCTTTATATAATAATAAATATTCCATTGCCAAGTAAAAATTTTAACTCTTACTCTACTCAGTAATACATCATGATTTTATTCCTAATATTAACCAGTACACAATTTTCTTTATTAATTGGTCTGTTGCTCACAAGACATGGAACAGATTTGATTAAAAAAGGCAGATTACTTTCAATTGAAAGGTTAATAAACACTGGCTCCTCGCCCACTCTTGCATTCGATGTTTTGAGTGTTACTGGTTGCAATGCACCTGCAACATCTCCACACAGTGTTAATCACAACAGCCTCCTGCAAGTCACTGTAGATGAGACTAGCTTAAGGGCAGTTAAATAATCAATCTGTGAGCTGGTACACAG